ACACTCCAACATTTACACAAAAGCGAGGCATCGTTTAAGTGTTCCACCAGAGGGTGGCGAAAATCTGCTTTAATCATACGTTATTTCTGTGTAACCGAAGTATTTTGATTGTCGTCTCAGTTGGTGTGTTGGCTGGATGCCCAACCTCCGATGTTTTGAATGCCTAAAGTGTCAGTGGATTGCGCGGGTGAAACACATTCACTGCGACCAAAGGAAATGGTGCAACTGCTGCTCATATAAAGTCACAACACGAAAAGTAAACGGACCGGGAATTCCATGAGTCTTGGCTTGCTTATTGCCAATTCCTTCACTCTTTATAATTTAGCGAATGACGTCGAATTCCGTGCTGGTGTTATGCAGTGGACCGCCATCACCCAGCTTCAAACTTCACCTAGTTCACTGCAGTGTAGGATTGTTTGTATACTGCAGTCTACATTTCATTCCTTCGCAGTCTGTGGGTTGACAGCTCTAGTAAAACTTAGAATGACTGTCCAGCACGGAATGTATTTGGTACGTTAGTCTAAAGATAGACATCCGTGGAACGTGTGAACCAACTGTCACACCGCATCTGCCCTGTGGCGTTGATTCTTCTGGGATTTCCTATCAAAATTGTTTCACTTGAGCATCACATTTTACGCCAATCTAATGTAACCCAGAAACGTAAGATTTTTAACGAGTTGCTCAAGGCCTTTCCGCATTCTTATTGGTAGCAGGTCATCTCATCAAAAGTCATACAGATTGAGTTGTGTATCAACCATGTGGTCAATCGGCCCTTTGTGTCGCACGGCGTTTTACTGGTCAGTTGCTAAGCATCTATTCTACATCCCATGGTGATCGGTCTCTCCGTTGTGCCGATTTGTATGCGGTACTGCGCATCGGTTGTATCCAAATCTCCTTCTGGTAAATGGATAATGATTCTAGACGAGATTCATATGGCCTGGTGACGGTTACGTCCCGCAACACGCGCATCAGCCAGTTGGTGGATATGATACAATAACATCATATTGACCAAGTGGTGAAAGGTGTTCACTAAACGACATCAGTGAGCCTGGGTTAATGACACAAATGGCCCTTCAAATAGCGCGGGGCCGTCGTAAATTTTACGCCCACAGGCACCCGCAGGTACACCAACTGCCGCCAACTAGTCAACCTCAGCTAAGTATCCGACGAACTTTTAAACCACTGAAACATTGAACATTGAAATTTGAGCAGTGCGTTTGAGTCGACAGACGACACAAAAACTGTTCTCCCTGGGCCGGCCACCTGGCTTATTTTTGTTCGTACTGTGCATCTATCATGAAACAGTGCGTCAGATTTGTGGAGGCGTCTTAATGCGTTCCCAATGCCTGAGAATTCGAACGGTTTGGCCTGAATGCTTTCGGTTTCGTAACCGAACGATTTATGTATGGCTAGCTTGATGGAACCACACAAACCATGTTCGGTGACGATGGCGAAACACAATCCGATTTCTGGATGCCTAGCTTGATGGAACCACACAACCCATGTTCGGTGACGATGGCGAAACACAATAGTGACCAGCAGCACTTCATTTTATTTTCGCAAACTCATAAAACGCGACGCGTGTCCGTTAGGAACAGACGTTGTAGACAGAACCAATGAGGGTTTCAGCCACGCATCCGGCTTTGCATAGCGCCAATAACTGAGTTGCGTGCTGGGCTCCCTCGGGGACCTGAAGACAGATAACAGGATCTCTGTTAGGAAAACTGAAGGTTCACAACGGTTGGAATGACTGAGCATCTCACATGTCGAGCACGGGTTTGAAATAATCACTAAGAATGCTTTCAAACGAAAGGATCCCACAGGTCGAGCACGAGTTTGTAATAATCACTAAGAATGCCTTCAACCGATCACGAAATTGCGTTGACGCATGAAAGTGAGTTCACGCATGATTGATTCTAAAGTCCACCAACCGAATTAAGGATTTTAGAGAAAGTGGTCATTATGCTTAATAGTCGGGAAGATGGTCAGTGGGGCACACCGGCTGTCAAGCGGATGATGGGTCAGTGATTGGTTGGTGAGTTTCAGCATATCTGAATTCTAGTTATTTCTAAGCACTTTGATATAAACTCTAACGATGCTAGCTGAGACCATGCAAAATGTTTCAGTTAAGGAACGGATGAGTGAAAATCTGTGAAATCTAGGATTCAAAATTCGTAGTAAAGCTGTATCCTGTTTTGCCCATTTTGTGACGCATCAGGCAGTCGCCATTCCAGAGTTTCCTTCAAAATCATGTTCTATTTGAGACCAAAATTGCACTGGTTTGTTTTATTGATAGTCCACTGAAGTTATAAAAGTTAGTCATTCGTTCAGGGAACTGTTTGTGTCTTTTTCGGCTGAACATCCAGCGGCATTAGATCAAACCTTATTAAATTAGACGAACGAGTAGAACGCCTATGCTTTTCATCGGGCATTCTCTGAACAAAATGTTTTTTTGGTTCCACGAACGCCCACACCAAGGCAGTACTAACTCAGATTCTCTCATGTTCCCAATTACCGTTTTGTAAGAGTGAACTGTGAACGAAGACAACACGTGATTCACCGATGGTTAGTTCAGATATTTATGCGATCAATTGTTCCGGATATGGAGAATGGGTAGCAGCTCACCAAAAGCAAGTTCCTTCAATAGACCTTCGGTAGTTTGAGAAAGGCAAATGTTATACCACATATAAAGGGCTTCATAAGCGGAGAGAACAAACAATGCTGGGATGCCGTTATTGAAGACATTGAACGATTTTTGGAATCAGTAGTCATATGATATACCCCTCGGAGAGATGTTACGTTGATGAAGTGTGTTGCTCCGTGTTTGTCCTCGATCAATTTTAAATACCGAAATTACTCACAGAATTACTCATTTACGAAAACCTGTAAAAGTGCACAGTACCGTCAGTCCAGAGGGTCGGACCCTGGTAAGTACAACATTGCCAGAAGCGGGCATCCGTTTCCTATCACGCAAAGTACTTCCAGGTAAAATCGAACATATTTCTGAAACATTGCTGGTCACGTAGATTAAAAGGGCGGGATTTTTACCGGCGTATAGAGAATAACCAGAGTCAACAGACCTTTAAAATGGTTGCCAAAACAATCTCACCACGACACAGAGTGAAAGTGAAGCAACGGGATTCATATGAACTGATCCGAGTTATTTAGTTATGGGTACCATACTGGACTTGTCCTTCTACTGGTTTGCCGCACCGATGGTCCCAGGATTCTGTTGGATGAGCGCCAATTTGATCCGTAAGTGTTGTTCAAACAACAACTTTAGCCCCAATTCCTTGTCAAATCTTGCTTCACTATATTCCTTAGCGGCATTAAAGTCGCGGATCATTCTTTAACAAGGAACCCCGTCATCAAGATTGACCCGTGTCGCTTACAATCAGGGGGTTCCACCTTTCCAGGAACGCCAACGTGGTTCGCCAGAGGAGCTAAAAAACTGAACATAGCTCAACTGAACTGAACTGAAATTAACTTAACTGAACTGAATTGAAGTGAATTGAACTGAGCTGACATGGACTTAACTCAACTGAACTGAAATGAAATGAAATCAACTAAACTGAGCTGAACTGAGCTGAAAACAGAACTGAAATGATCTGAACTGAACTGAACTGATTTGAGCTGATAACGAATTTAGACATTAATTCGCTCCAGGAATATCCCACAAACTGTTGAACTAATGAACACGAGGTTGAAGGATTAGGTTTAATTTCAAGAACAGAACGAATATACTAGTGAAGTATGTACCGGGTTTGCCCCGAAAGTTCCTTCCATAAAGGCCGTTTGCTAACGGTTTATCTGAATGTAGGTTTGGGACTGAGGCTCGGGATACGTGACGCCAGGGGTGAATGCATTTGCCAATAATTTATGCAATCCCCTGTTTCCGTACATCAGGAGGTCAACTTACCTGCTGAATTGTGAAGCAGTGCGTCCGGAATTGATCTAATACTGCCTGAAAACACATGAGCTCATCCCTTTTGGACAAGCCCTTCAGATTTGGCTTATGGTGGGACTTCACGTCCCTGACGATGTCGCGAAACGTTTCCTTGACGATATGGCCAAGCTGAAGCAAGCGGGAAGAGTGGTTATGGGGTAGTATAGGTAGACTATAGTAGGCTTCTAGCACATCAAAACGAACCACGTTGGATTTTTGGGTAGCACCATGAAACGACCGCTAAAATACAGAACTGATTACGGTTTATTTTCTCCCATGCATTCGCAACACCTATTCTCTACTACACAACTCGAGTCTTGCCTAAAGTCAACATTTGTCGCGCTTTCAGTTTGTACTTTGCGATCAGTGGAATAATAAAAACAAAATGCGAACCTGAATTGCACGGCGCAGCTTCCGCCAAGCGGTTTGGTGATCTTGGTCCGTTGTGGCCTCCATAACCCGTCGGGACTTTGAGAACAAGTGCGCCTCCAAAGAGGGTTTTCTATCTACAGCATTCGCCTGAAACCAAAAAAAACAATTGGGGATATTTACCATAAACAGGAGCTCTAACATTGCTGACTGGAAGAATTGTCTTCCCAGACAACTCACTATTAAGATGAAACTGCCACTACTCGGTTGGTAGGGTTACGCAAATCGTCCAGGAAATTCAGTCGCCTGTACGTAATGTTGGGGAAGTAGAACATCACTAAACGTTTTATGTATTTCGCTAAACATTTGAAACGGGATCTCAGCTATCGTGTGTTGTTTTATGCCGTCAACACATCCAAACAATATTCTTGATGAGACAACGCCTTGTTCCAGAAACAGTTAGCACTTTGTTTCCGCAGTTGATATTGGTCAGTGGTAAATGCCATGTTAGGTCGGAGGGTATAACACGAATTCCACGAGTAATTTCAATCGGTGAAACGCTTGAATTTGGAGTGATAGGCATTTCACATCAGCTGGATTATCACTGACCATGCTACATGTAATCATCAGACGCTCCATGTGTTTGATTTACGATTCGCTTGCTCCGCTGTATTTACGTAGATTGATCACTATTCATGCATCTGTCCGTTTGTCTGTTTGTCTGTCTGTAAATTTTTTTATCCAACTTTTCATCTACTCATTTATTCATCTATCTATCTATCTATCTATCTATCAATCTAATCTATCTATCTATCTATCTATCTAATCTATCTATCTATCTATCTATCTAATCTATCTATCTATCTATCTATCTAATCTATCTATCTATCTATCTATCTAATCTATCTATCTATCTATCTATCTAATCTATCTATCTATCTATCTATCTAATCTATCTATCTATCTATCTATCTAATCTATCTATCTATCTATCTATCTAATCTATCTATCTATCTATCTATCTAATCTATCTATCTATCTATCTATCTGGTAGCGGACCACATGTTTTCTCGGATGAACGTTGTTGGCCGCAGTAATTGTTGTTTCCATTATAAGAAAAAGTTTAATTAAGGTTATTGAGTCAGTCTTAAATTATCACTCTTTGGCGATATTGAATGGGATTGTAGGCGTTTCTGCCTCTCAAGTGTCATTGGTGTATAGTGGTCACCTGCTTCTTTGAACAAATATCGAACATGACGTTGAGCACATACTGGTAGTGTCCCGTCATTCCGGTGCATATAAAGATCAAAATGTCCTTGGAATTTTCCAACTGGGAGACTTCCTATCGCCTGAAATAAACAACAAAGAGACGTCTAACAGCGTATTATCAACCGAGATGGTATCCTGTTCCATACAACATGCAAACGGGGCTTTAAACCTTAGTACTAACTTGCTCATGTTAAAAATTCCGATTGATCAATGAACAGTAATTCCGAAGCCGTTTCGCAAACGTCAGTGTATAACTTTGATGTCCCCTGAATCACAAGTTTTATCACCTAAGTTAGCTCGTTCCGGTCCATGACGAAGCGCAAAACTACATTGACTAATTTTCAGCAAATCGGACCGAAGCGCAGCATCCCATGTGTCGATGAGTATTTCGAATGTACGCTTGGTTGAGCATATGTCTGAATCACGTAACGCAGCTGGATAGTTCACTAACGGCGTCGTCACATAGTATATTTTAAAATTGAATCGCATCACGACGAGTCCCAGACGTGCTTCTATCGATCGTCTGTACCCATGTTGTTTTATACTGCCAATTATTGATGTCCAGCAGAACTTTTTATTCGAATGGTTATTTTGCCCCTCAATGAAGACAATCTATGCTGAAAAAACGGGAAGCACTTAAGAGGTGTTTCCTCTGTATTGGGAGTCAGAAGAAGAAGAGAACCGACAAATGCTCTGCCACAAGGGACTGAGCTGCATTGTGATAGGCTTTCATTTAGGCAGCACAAAACCTCACTCATCGCTCCACCACGGAAAACAACATCACCTGACCACGTATTGACTGGTTCCTTGATTGGTAACGTTTCAGGTGTAAGTTTCAGTCACCGTGTCAATGCATTCTACCTCCGAGTTACTTGTGGTTGATTCATGATGATTTGACTTCCATTTGTGCCATTGCACAGCAGCGTATGTACCATAAAGTACCAACGCCATTGTTTGGTTATCCGGAAAAAGACAGGCTAGGCTTGGATATCTAAATACCTGGACGAGCAAGCTTGCTGAACTTCGTCCATGGAACAACAAATGCCAATGATCTATTTTCGAAATTGACCGCCACATTTGAAAGATAACGGAATGCAAGTGTCATCTCATTTTCATAACAGTTTGGTTTTTCCAACTGAATTTCTCCGTGCCAGCATGTGACTCACCATCTCACCGTACTTCATCACGTGACTATATGCTGTCTTTTTTTTTACCTCCTCGTACTGTTGATCCAGTGTACGCGTTTTCAAGTCATGCTGCGCGCGAGGGAGGAATAATTAGAGAGGGAGGCTACGTGAAGTATGCGGATACGCTTACGCAATTTAAAGATTGATTCTATGTAGGCAAAACCGGGAAAATATCACTCGAATGAAGACACCCGAGTTATGGGACGACACATATTACTGGTAAATTAGTAAGCACTCCGATGATGCAGGATGACACTTCTTAGAGATTTGACGCTTTATGGTAATGATCACCACCACCACCATCATCAACATCGAGAGCAATAGCAGAGGAATATACGGATGCTCCACTGCCGTAAACGCATTCCAATTTATTTGTAGTAGAAAAAGGAAGGATATTGGAACAGGAATGGAAACAGCATGAAACAGCATGGACGCCGATGAAAACGCTGGGTTGTCATATAATTCGGTGTCTCCAGCCAAACACTAGGAGGGTCAAGTTGACCCAACTGGGAAAGGCGAAAATCACTAACAGTATTCAAAATTTTCATAGAATCCTAAATTCCCTTTTGTCATGTCAAATTATGTTCATCCCCATGTTTATGACAATTCAGGGTGGGCAGTTAGTAACGGAACATGCGTACTGCATGGCACGGGCAACTTGTGTTGGCATGCTGGATGCATATTTTGAAAAAAAAGTGTCATCCGCTAGGGTAGTAATTAAATATCATTCAATTGTGATCAATCGGGACATGTGAGAAAAATGAAAACTCGAGTGATGATGACCCAAAACCCGAGTTAATATCTATCCGACAAACTTCGTTTCGACAGATTTATCGAGACGATGGCGTTCTTGAGATCCATTGTTCCCATTATCGTCAACATGATCACCCACGCCACCCTTATCAGCTTCCGTATTCAACACGGACGATTCCCTTCGGGCATTCGAAATTCATTTATAGTCCTATTCCAAAGAGAATAATTAAAATGGATGGGGAAAAACTTGGTGCTGGACTACCATAATAATTCCGATGCTCCTGCAGCCCTAGACACTCACTCATGCGATCTGAATCGAAAATGACAACAAGAACTCTACTAACATTAATTCAAGTGCACAATTTCTAAAAAAATACCCAAACACAGTGACAATCAGACAGTCTCCGTCTAAGGGAGCGAGGTACACTGTCGGCACCCAGACTTTCGATAGACTCCTTCATACACCTGTGCATACCTCTTCATACCTCTGCATAGTTAGAGGTTTGCGTGATCGGGAGGACAGTGAGGAAGCTTAGATATCAAAATAATGCTCTCCTTATTTTGGGGCCACCGGGCGGTCGTGATTGCTAAATTCACGAAAATCTTGTTCACGCTTCAAACCCAAATTGGTGATGAAGCTGTTCGTGATGTTTGTGGAAGTAGTGAGTAGGCATTTGCGAGCGCACCGTAGCATTGAAAGAATTTACTGCTGAGTAGGTTTCAGGCCAAATAAGAACGTTTGCCCGGCTCGATTCAATTTAAACTAAATCGGAGCTGATACATCGAAATTTGTGACACCATATGTCCGATCTTTTCTTGGAGGTTGAATTTTGGGATGAGTGGACAAGTTCAATTTGGCAAAGCGGTTAAAGACTACGTTGCCGAGTAAGCGACAAACTGCGAAATTTTCCTTAGCAAAATGATAGCTTGATAGGCGTAAGCATCCACGTGCAAGACGGGTGGGTGAAAAGATGAGAAAAATACATCTGCTCGACGCATAAAAAACGAGTTCCAGAAGCCAAAACAAAACTTTGTCCTGAGTGGTCACAAATGCCATTAGTACTTGCAGACTCCAGAAAATAACTGGCCCCACCCTTATCCAAAAATTTATATTTACTAAGACACTATAGCTAACACATTAGAGCTAAACAAATAAGTGTTCTACAGTACCAACTGGTCCACCACTTGCTCCTGACTACCACAGGATTATCCATCCACAAGTGATGGGCTAATGTGCATCAGATTTGCTAATACTTACGTATTCCGAATCTCTGATCCAAACGTACGCGTATTCGCTCGCTAGACAAATATCAAAATCCTTGTCCTCACAAAAAATAGACCAGGATAGTTCATCTTCCTTGGATGCTGTTGTCACGTAGACTGCAGACAAAAGATCATATAGATCACCATCAAATATGCGTAAAATAGTGAAGCAAATTATTGGCAAACTCATTCCGTGACTCGCAGGAATTATGAATCTGCATGAGATCTGGAACTGACCCACTTCTCAGGAGGCCTCTGACAACTCCTTTTCAGATTTTATGGGTTTCACGCCTCTTGCGGCGAAACACGGAGGCGAAGACCTCGACTTTCCATATAATTTAATTCTTTCTTGAACCCAAACTGGACAGAGTGGCGGAACACTCTCATGAACGAGACAATTCGCTAGGTTCGGTTGGGTCCCCTCATAAAAATAAAATCAGAATGTGAATGTATATTCAGTATTTTTTATTATATGCAAGCATCTAACCTGTTGTTTGATGGGTTGAAATGTAAATTTTATAAAATAGACATGATCCATTCACAATCTACGAAGATGGTATCCAGCTGCTGGACAGGGACACCAAAAACATCACAGGTATTATACGGGTTACACAATGATTTCCTCCACCGATATGCCATAATTCATCAGCAAGAGCGATAACAATCATTTGAGGCTGAATGTTGTGTGATCTCCGGCTGAACGCTTGTTGAATAGACGCAGAAAGTACTTCCTTACAAGGATCACAAAGAAGACAACGGTGAACTGCGCTTTGAACTTTGTTTTTTTGTATTGGCAAGTACAGCATTTTAGCCATATGTGAAGGACATTCTGAGGGCTATTACTCAGGATCCTCAAGACAGCCAGCCGAAAATTTACGCGACTTACTTCCCATATTTGGAGGAAGAATATCTCGGAACATAGATCCAGCGAAGCAAGCCGCCATGTACAGTACCAATTTGTTGTACTTTTTTTTTGAATGAATATGGGCGAGGATATCGTTCAACTCCACTGCATGCAGCTGTCGCAACACAAGAACGAAAATTCTCTTGAGATGGCGATGGTGCAGGGATAAAAGCATGAACTAAGTATTTCGAACCCAACCTCAGCATTTCCACTGTTCCCCTCTGGGTTTTGGCAAGCTATCCGAGTCTCCGCCCTCGTACTTCATTAGGTGGAATAAAAGGTACGCACCGAATGGGTGTTCGAGCTGAACGACTATTGATTTTTCTGGAAATACTGTTTAACAGAACCAAATGAAGGACAACGGTTGAATGCGTTTTGCCTTGTCATGCTGGAGTCACTGCTGAGTACCATGTTAAATGTGCTTACGTACCCCGGTATATGAGTGCCAGTATGTCTCCTGCAGTGTTGGTCAGCTGTACCGTTGACAGTTCTGTAAACCTCCCTTGAAAAGAGCGCGCAAGGACCACTATTAGAGTAAATAAACTGGAAGTCACAAATTCAGAAAAATGAATGGCCACTTTGAACGACTGATTTTCATGTCACTCCGAATGTCTATTTCACCGCCGGCTGTAAACATTTATCCCACTTCCCAGTCTTTGGAGAGTATTTTAGCCCGAATCAAAACTGAACACTTTCAGACTGTAAGTAGTCCAAAGGGAGAACTGATTTACACGACGGATAGATTTTTTTCATTTGAGAATTTGTCACTCTACCAGTCAGTCATGAATGGTGTGAATCCCTTGATTGAAGAATGCGTGACGTTTTGTCCTGATCAATCGCGGACAAATCAGTCTGTCATTAGGCTGCCCCTGGCCGAACGGTTTAATATTGCAGCTACTATGCGCACCGCTGATGGATCCCAATGAGGATGGAACCACTGTACATTGCTTCCCGGGTTTTCCACACAGATTGGTTTCCCATACAGAAATACGAAAACTTCTTTGTAATATTAATGATTTGAACAGTTTCTTTAAAGATAAAATGGGGTATTTTGATTTGACAGGAAAACTTTAGCTGACGATTTCGTCAGGGGTGAACGTATACGACTAGCTTCTTCGTTTATGGTAACTACGTATGCTCAGAATTCTAAATGGATCGGCCCGAAATCATGTGAGTTAAGCGACCTGATCTTAGTGAGATGAAATATTGAATCCAACATTTAAAGCACCTAGACGAGGCCTAGACGTCCTTCATTTAGATTCCATTGAAAAACTACAATGGCTACCAAACTTCACTAAACTTACCTCTTCTGCCAACAAGGACATACTGGAAACCAAGCCATGCCCAGAGTAGAAGATGAACACGTTGTCATCAGGACCACTGTAAGTGGGCAGAAAGTTTAAGTTGGTCTTGAAGAGGAGTTCTTGGGCGGCGCAACCAAAGCGCAACCAAAAATACCGCAGAACTATGAAGATAGTGAACACGCAGGTCAGAATACAAATTTGTCCACGCTACTGGATATAATCGGTTGTCAAACTTACTTTGAATGCTCTGCTTTTTGGAAGGCCACATGAATGCGGGAATGAAAAATCGATTTTTGGACTTGTGCTTGCTTATTGTCACATCAAGTGGTATAGTAGCTCCTATGGTTTTGAATGCATGTAGGTGATTGGAGGCAGTTTTATACTTCAGTTACTTTTATCGTTGTGCCATTGGAAAGATTACCCTCAGCTCTTTCGAAATCATTATCTTACTAGCATGGTTATATCCGCGCATGAAAATATCTACCCTACCAAGGGAAATATTTTAAACAACGAGAGCCAACCCTACATTTTTAACCGAAATATCCTAGAGGCAATATGTTTTTACATGAGCATGTATTTAAAGCAGAGTACTTTGGGAGGGCGAATGCGGGAACTACTCCCTACAAGCTATCGTCAGGACTGGCGAAAAAGCGGAATAGGACCTATACGAACAGTTACTAGACTGCTGCCTTTGAATGGTGACCAAACAGAACACAGGGCACAGAGTTTCCGGAAGTGAGAATCAGAATGACAGCAGACCACAAACTAGCATGAAGCTCTTGAAGAAGGTTTATTAATCAATGTTCTTAAAACATTTCAACTCAAATGGGCGTGCGGGAGCTGAGAATATATATTTAATCATCCATCCCAGGGCCTCCCCACGGAAGCATTGTTTACTCAGAAAACGCGGACAAAAGTGGGTGATTACGGATTGCGCTGCCATTGCGAATCCAGACAGTGTATACCTGATCTATGCCTATGATATACTAATAACGCATAGTCTAAATTGAAAAAAACGGGTTTAGCTCAAAGTAAGGCTAATATTTTGGCTGACTTCGAGGAGCTTTACTTAAACAGACAATGTATCAAGTTACTTACTAAACACACATTTCGTCAATCCCAGAAGTCTGACCTGGAACACTAGATTTCTAGTTGTGTTCTGCAAGTGCATCAACAATATCCACTTCCGCGCAAACTCACCTTTTCAGCACCTTCTTCTTATTCGCTGCAAGTTTCTCGTCGCCTTTCAAAACTTTCACGAAGTTATCTCGTGTGACATCCTAAAACGAATGAACATGCTTGACCAATTATTCCTGTGACAATAATGTTCTCCACACTCATTTTATTCCCAGTAACCATCCACTTTCAGCCTAATAGATAACCTCGATCTAGAATCTGCTCACCATCTTCACCTATATTATTTCCACGATAGTCGCTGTTCCAGTAACCATCCACTTTCAGCCTCGATCTAGAATCTGCTCACCATCTGCACCTATATTATTTCCACGATAGTCGCTGTATGATGAAAACTGAAGAATTCGATAGTTGGCCTGTTTCCAAGCCCAGTGTTCGCAGTTGAGTTGAACACGGGCTACCTGGAAGCATTAAAAGTAGCCCTCGTCTACCTCAGTAGCTAAGGAGTACAACCAGCCGCAATATTGAACTGAGTACCACTCATCGGCACTCAACTGAATCACAGTGAACGGTCTCATTTGCGATATTCTCTAGCTTAATTTGCTGTCCTGGAACAGCTGCTTGGTTTGGTTGGTGCATCATTTGAGACATCACAGGATAATTCCGCGGAGAAAACGTTTCGTGCACTGATGGTCGCTGTGCTCTTTTGGTGGTTCTTTTGACAAGAACGCTAGCCTACTTGATAGGCCAAAAGCAGAATGTTAAAACCGGTCATGGGCTGCCTGAGAGTTCTCTATGATCTTATGACTAGTGTTCGTTCAAGTACATTTACCATTCTGTAATATAGTAAAAATGATTAGTTTGTCCTACGGTTTGTATTCTGTTTTGATACGCGGTGTGTTCCACGGTAACCTGATACAGAAATTCATTTGCACCGACACTGGCACTTACTTTTCCACGATAGTCAATTTCCACACCCTGGTAAATATCTTCGTGCGTGTAGTCATGGAACACTTTGCCTTTAAACGGATTTCTGGAATGAAAGAATGTAAAGTGGCAGTGGGTTTCTTGAGAGAAACTAACATGTAGATCGGAAAGAAAAAAAAACGAAGGGCTAACAAATTTTGTTTAAATTTGGTTCCGGGCTTGTCTTGGGATAAATTTTCACGACGATTTTTGAACCCTATGTTCCACATCTTATTAACAAATAATCCATGAGGCAGAAATAAGTTAGGTATCTTACAATATTTCCAATAGGGTGCACAACAAACAAAGTGGCAAATGTGGTGTGAGAACGTAATTCTCTTAGGCAACTTTACATTGAAACACCACCAGTAGTGGAGTTTATGAGCATCTCCTCACCCAGTGCCCTTAAATGAATTTCGATCGGGCAATGAAAGGCTTACGATTTTTAGAACCTGCAGGCGAGATGAAACATTCTATGTCTTCAGTAGGTTTCTTCAAACTTGTACTGACAGTCGAGTGTATTACAGAATGTTAAGCTAACTAGACTGTTTGCTTAATATTCGCCGCAAACCATCGATTGTGCTGATTGTATCCGTGGCGCTTCCAGTCATGAAAAGTCACGAACGAAGAGAAAATTGATCATACTTATCACGTGACGCACACAAGCTCATAATAATCTGCACCCAAAGTTTATTCACGATTCAGATCTAGGAGAATTATGACTCAACAATGAGATGTTTTAAAGTCAAACAAAGAAACGCGTTTTGAAAATTTTAGTTGTCATCGTAGAAGAGAATTTATACGTGATATTTACCTGGGATTGTTTGCAATATCGTCATAGGCGAAGGTAATTATATTCTCCGCTGGAACGTTGTTTTTACGCACGATTTGATACGCATGGAAAACGTCAGCCTTGATAAGAACACAAATGACACGGGAATTAAGGAAAACGGGCAGAGGGAGGAATGGAGGATAAGGTAGATAATCAGGGTGTGTAGGATAATCCGTACTTGGTGGATTATCAGTTATCCCAACAGTATTGGGATGCATTATTCCGAGAACAAGGAGCATGATTCTAGTCCGAAAGGCCTTGTGTTCCGCATTCAGTCAAGCGTGAGATCCTGTGTACCGGAGCTGTACAACCTTGGTATCCCTTGACTTTGAATCCGAATCTCTCGATCGCTTGTGTACTAGATAAATAGTCACATTCAAGCGTGAGTGTGTACCGGAGCTGTACAACCTTGGTATCCCTTGACTTTGAATCCGAATCTCTCGATCGCTTGTGTACTAGATAAATAGATAGTCTGTGGCGAAACTCGCTGGTAACAGATTATTACCCATTAAATCTTAAGAATGGATACAGACGCGCTCATCATGTGTAACATTTTCAAAATCATTCTCAA